GAAGAGCAAGCAGTTCAATTAAGAGCGTCATTTGTTAACTTAGATCCGAGGAGGTGGGTGTTTCCAATAACGGATTCACAACATCATGATTTAATTAGCAATGACCCCCAGAAAAACGTGGAAAAATTTGATGAAAATCATCCTAAGGATTATTATAAGAGACATTTTTCTAATTTTTATTTCACTCGAAAATTGAGTAACAACGAAACGCAACGTCGTACATGGTTAGTTTACTCTAAGTGCCAAGATAAAGTCTATTGCTTTCCATGTAGACTTTTTTCGCATATGCAGACACTGATGGTAAAAGAAGGCTGCTGTGACTGGATAGATTTAAGTCGCATATTGCAAAGACATGAACAAAGTCAAGGGCACAGAGAATGCATGATTGATTGGATAGAATTTTATAAACGAATCACACACGGAAAAACCATAGATAAAGAAAACGGGAAATTGATTAGAGAATCGCAAAAGTATTGGTATAACTTGTTTTAAAGATTGATTGACATAATAATATTCTTAGCCTGTCATAATCTGCCATTTAGAGCTCTCGAGAATCCCTTAGCATGAACGATAGTGCAAATAGTGGTAATTTCATAGATCTATTTAAGTTATCTAAATATGATCTTACACTACGGCAGCACCAACAACGTATTAGTGACAAACAACAAAATCTATTTCCTTTTTTCAAAGTCGAGCAAGCGTTGGAATCTTGTAAAAATCAAATTAAAATTAACCTTAAAATCTCTGTCTAAAACCAGATGGGAGAGTAGAATCAGAGCAGTAAGAGCGATATATTTGCAATTTGATGATGTTATTGAATGCGTGATTGAACTGAAAAATCAAACTTACATTAAGACCGAAAAGTTTTCGGAAATTCTCATTTAAAATTCGCGCGCTGTATATTTTTCGATATTTTAAGTTTATGTAGTTTGGCAGCACTTTCCTTAATTACTATGCCAAAAATGAGCGCGATCTGTCAGACAGTTCGTTTACGGCAGCTGTTGAAACCAGTTCACCTCAGTAGGGCGTTGCGAAAAAAACAATGGAAAAAAATATTGAACAAAGAGTTTGCATCAAATTTTGTGTTTCGAACGAAATTTCGTGTGCAGAATCGTTGCGAATGCTACAAAAGGCTTATGGGGAATCAGTTTTATCGAAAACTCAAGTTTATGAGTGGTACAAAGCCTTCCAGGACGGTCGTACGACCGTCGAAGACATTTCGCAACGCACTACTGAGGTGAACTGGTTTCAACAGCTGCCGTAAACGAACTGTCTGACAGATCGAGCTCATTTTTGGCATAGTAATTAAGGACAGTGCTGCCAAACTACATAAACTTAAAATATCGAAAAATATACAGCGCGCGAATTTTAAATGAGAATT